GAAGTTGAGAGCCGGATGTTCAGTAGGATAACGGCTCGGTAGGCGTTGCTTATATACATGCCTTGGTAGGTAGCCTCCGCCCTGTCTTCACCCTGCGCGCGTTGATTCTCTATTCTGCATCGCCTCCACTGTACATTGCAGCAATAATAACACCAACCGGAATCGCCACATCGTATACAGTTCTTCGCTACCCATTCGTGCAGTAGAGTTTAGCCTGTCTGCACTTCCACGTACGTGTTTGTTGGGATCTCTCACATCAAAACCACCTCTTACACGACATAAGAAGAGGGGATGCCAAGTATCTCGTGTTGATTTGCCATGATTGATCCCCGAGAATAGAGTGCTCTACTTCGAAGCCGAGTATATACCCAGAGGCGCAGTCATGCAGTGTAGGGCATCCCAAAGTATGCCAAGGTTTCCATGTACGGCCAAGCGATGCGAAGCAATTATATATTTCAGGCTAGTATTGGGCTATCAAGGCTTCATAGCAACAGGCCTCCGATTACACCAGCAGCGATGCTAAGAAGACCTCCACCAACCACACTCTTAGCATTGGCAGCGCCAGTAGCATCTGCCGCAGCGGCACTAGCAGTTTGGCTCACACTTCCAGAATTCGCTGCAACACCTGTGCTAGCACTCATCTCTTCCACAAATCCAGACATCGGATGTGATTTGTACAAAGTAGCGGTGGATGTCGCAGCGTCAGTGGTAGTAGCTTCTGTGGCCTGGCTGAGTTTCTCTACACCAGCCGTGATCACTAATTCGAACGTGCCTACAGCTGAGCCACTGTATGGCTCTGTGCTGCTGCCGGGAAAGTTTGCCTCGGTTCCACCAGCCGTCTCTTTGCATATCGCGCTTTCGGGCATGATCACGCAGTCCATTGTAGCGGTAAAGTCGGACTCCGGGCTTGGGTCTCCCATGTTGAGATTCCAAGTCGAAGGACCGAAGACGAGGGTTTCGGCTGGAAAGAGACCACAGTCGATGGAGGTAGCGCAGGCGAGTGCAAGCGTCGTAGCGGTGGGATTCGCGGTGACAACGGAGCCGACCATGTTCGGCAAGACTGAGCCTTCGAAGATGTCGCCGATCCATGGGACTGACATAGTTGCTGGGATGTCTTGTTGCGCAGCAACTAGGCCGATGAAGGAGACGAGGATGAACTTTGAAGCCATGGTGACTGTATCGATCTTGTGAAGAGTACGAAGTTTGAAAGAGTGAAGTTGTCGATGAGACACAGAATTTGTAACGAGTGACTGTACGAAGAACGAGCGACGATGAGCGATACCTACAATTTTTCTACAGCGAAACTTCTTTTGTATAGAATTTTCGCGTCGCGAGGCCCTCCATACTATCGTGAATCGAGCTCGTGTGGCGTTCAATAGGGGCGGCTGGCGCCTGATCTTTAGCGACCTCGGTATCTCGCAAGTTCCCGCTCCCACGGAGGCTCAACGCACATCTTATACCGACACAAAGGCGAGGCTCTATAGAAAGCTATGCTGTGGATCGTTTTATACCGCTGCGGCTCGCTGGCTATTCAAAGGCAAACATAGGCCGTAGACGCGCCCTCGTTGTGCTTGTTGACATTTTGGTAGTCGTACGATGCATCCGTAACCGAGGGTGCTCGTGCGCAATTATTCGACATGTTCTTTCGGAATCTGGCCCGCTTGTTCCAGCAAATTGTCCCACCATGTAAAGTACGGCTCGTAGCCTCCACCGCCTCGTGCATGATGGAGGCTGTGCTTTCTTGCTCCGCCTCCCCAACCCTTGGGCAGTATCTTGTCATAACCCCACGGTAGATCCAGCCCCGAATGCAGCTCGACTAATAGCCATACGAATATGGGTACAAACAAAGTCCGCGTGAAGACATGGCTCTTTATGATGTTGAGGCTGAAGTTGGCCAGCAGCACCAGGCCCAGTCGCTCGAGAATGTGCAACTGGTTGGTAATCTGGGGGTGTATCTCGGCGTGTCGATGGTGCGGTGCGTGCCATCGCTTGACCACGGGTATGACGTGAAGCGAGTAGTGGAAGAGGAAGAAGAGCGCATCGTAGAAGAAAAAGCTCGTCGCGAGCTCGAGGGCGATTCGGCGGCTCGTAGGAGGAAGGTTGGGAAGAGCGCGTTGCGTTTGCAGCGGCGAAGACATCGTCATGTTGTGCAGTGTTGGCACCAGAAACGTATGGTGATACGCCGTAGTGGTGTTGTTTGCTGCGATTGCTGCCGCGGCCGCGTAGTAATTGCCTGACTCTAGCATTGCAATAAGCGGAACATCGGCAAACTTCTTGATCATGGTCAGATCCATGAGTAGTAGCGGCGTCATGTACGTGACAGCCTCGCCCCATCGCCGCGAAGGGCGTCGCATCCCATGCGGTTTCCTAGCTGCGTCGCCATCTTTCGTGTTCTGCTGGACTGCAAATCTCCATTGAGGGTTTCGCATGAACACAACGGTCATAGACACTTCGATTACTGCGTAAAGAAGGACTGTCCATATTGTCTCAAAGGTTGACAGACGATATAGCGGGTTCCGTATCAGCCATTGCCACAGAGGTGTGAGAAGAGGCTGGTATAGGTCTGGGAAGGCGATGGAAGAGAGAAACAAAGATCCTAGAACAGCTCGACACGTTGACACCATCATTCTATGTGGTCCCGAGTGAAGAGAAGTTCATAGTATGCTGAATCGCATGCATTTGCCTTCCTTTGGCGCTCTCTGGGCATTCATGACTCTTGACGTCATCCGATCGGAACGGTTCCGAAGGCATTCTATAGCGAAATTGCATCTCACCCATCACCATCATTCGCTATCCAGCCGACATCTACCGCGGTCATGTTAGACATCCAGCTTCGACCGATTAAAGACACGCTCTTCGATTCTATCACGCCACTCGTTCCCTCCATTTGCTCGCCACTAGTCATCACGTTTCTGGCCTTTTCCTCGGGTGTGATCTCCTGTATTTACGCTGCATCCAACAATATTTTAGCGAGTATCACATTCTGGGCACTAAACAGGGCACTGGATTGTCTCGACGGCGCTGTCGCCCGCAAACGCAATCAGTCTTCGGATGTTGGCGGCTTTTTCGACCTCTTGGGCGACTTCATCGTCTATTCAGCCATTCCTATATCCTGTGCTTTAGCACGTAATGATGAGCCCAATGCAAAGAGCATCTGGCTCTCAGTGGCTGTGTTAGAATCATCCTTTCACGTCAACAACTTCGTCTTGTTCTACATTGGCGCCATTCTCGAGAAGCGCAAGGGCAGCGGGAAAGATGGAAGCAGGGTCAAAGAGCTGACCAGCGTGGCAATGCGACCAGCACTTATCGAAGGGACGGAAAGCGCGGCTTTCTTCACAGCCATGCTCACCTTTCCTCGCTATCTGCAGCATCTCTCATGGACTATGGCCCTTTTGGTATGCTTAGGCATTGCTCAAAGGACAAATTGGCTTGTGCAGGCGCTGAGCTAACTTGTATCGAATGGAACTCGCTACAGAGAAGGAGAGACCGCTTTCTGCTGCATGATGCCCTTCTCTCGAAGCTTCGAGATGACACTTTGTGCATTGCCTTTACAAGCCGCAAGCTCCGAGTTGCTCATAACCTCCGAGAGACTTCCATTGCTTCCGCTCGACACAATGGTCGGATAACGGATGTTGTTGGACTCGATGAAGTTTTTCACCTGCAAATGGTCAATAATTAGATCCCAGTACTAGGAACATCCCATCTTGACCACGAACTTCTTCAGACAGCTCATCTCTATGCCGTTGTACGATGTTGTGTCCAGACTCAGCCTCTATTGCTTTCTTCGCTTCTACCCAAGCTGGTGTTTCCTTCAATGATAATCCGCCATGTGTAATATCACCTGCGGGAATCAGCATACTTTGTCACATTATCAGACGAATAAACTCGCCGAGGGAAGCATACAGGCGGCACAAGCTGGATTCTCTTCTGAAGAATGGCAAATCTTTCGATAACCGTACCTCAATTTGCCCATGATAGATGCGTCGGCATTGTACAGGATGTAAAGTGTACGAGACATTACTGCGACTCGCTTTAACTGAGAATAACGTGATGATGTTGTTTGCGGATCGGGTCCAACTCGGTGGCTGGGATGAAGGGATCGATGACGTGCATACCGCACGGATCATGAGTGTCAGTCAGCCGAGGAGCGCCCAAGAAGCCACCGCAGCCATTTCATCGCCTCCCATCAATACGCTATTTGCATGGCACTCCTTTAGCCCTGAAAAGAAACATTTTGCAATACCGAACCTCGAGAATGCCAACAGATCCAATCAGGTTCAATAAGGCCGTTTCAGCAGCGCATGCCACAACATCTTCTATCACTGCATTGTTGTTACTGCGATACGCGTCATGGCCGACACTACCGTCACAAAGATCAGCCCCTCAAGACGCTCACGGAAAGAGCCACCACCTAGACGATTCGCGTAACCCTACGATCAATGGTCACAACAAGTTGGCTAACGCGCTGACTGCATGGGAGACCGCTTACCTCCTGTACGACACTTATGCGATGATTCATGCACGCCGCAAGAAGGACCAGTCAGCAGTTCGCGCTGCCTTACGCGTTGTGGCCCGGGACTCACCCATCACTCTCGTTCATCACGTGCTGCTCTCATCCGCGTTACTCGTGTTGCAAGCGTACATTGCAGCTGGCAAAGAAAAGGGGATGTGGGTGATCACCGCGTTCTTATTGATGAATGGCAGTACACCACTAATGCATGCGCGATGGTGGAACCGACAGCGCACAGGAGCATCAAATACTGCTCTAGATATAGCCTTCTTGGCAACATTCGCGGTTTCAAGGTTTGGTGTCGTTTACTGGATATTGACGAAATACGGCCAGCATCATGGCCTTGGTCCGTGCCAAGCGTATGCAATGCTCAGGAAACGATGTCAGATCGGAACCGCTATGCTGGTTGGGCTGAACGCTATCTGGTGGACCATGCTGGCTTTCAACATAACGAAGAGGAACATCAAGCGACGAATACATTGAAATCCTGCTATGGAGAGCTACGCGACAAACGTATCATAATTGGGTCTGACGGTCTCTGAGTCGGCAACTGCTTCATATCTCGAGCCCAATCCTCAGGCATCACCGAATCGTTCGGTTCCCACCCCAGCCAACCGCGCACTCCACGCGGTTTGATCTTCCCATCAATCTGGATCCCGAGGCGCAAAAATGTATCTGCTACAGCCAGCGCGATCTCGCGAATCGCATCGCGACCCAAACAAGTCTTTGGACCCGCTCCGTAGGCTACACCGGGCGCTAGGCCCTTGTCAAGATATCGATCTGGGTCGAACACGTCCCAAGTCGGCCCGTAGGTCGATGGATCACGACCACCACCCACGAAGTACAACCAACAGTCCCAGCCCTTTGGTATTTTGATGTCTGCCTGCTCCCCCGGCGACAAAATGATACTATCTCTTGTTGACCGTCTCATAACGCCTACAATGGGCGGGCTAAGTCGTTCGGTCTCTAATAGTATGGCGCGTAAGCGTAGCGAAAGCCTCCCTGGTTCAGTTTCACCGGCCAAAGTATCGGCCAGCGATCGGCCCTCCTTCGTCCGATATAAGAAAAGGTTTAACAGGAAGGCTGTCAAAAGAGATGCTAGCGCTTTGACAGCGAGGCTGCTGGTAAAGAGGACTGAGTGCTTTGCTACGTCCTCTCTTTCGCCTTGGTCCGCGACAGCAAATGGACATCCTTTCACTTCTTCTTTCATATGACGCAACATTCTGTCTTGTAGCTTCTTGTTCGCCTCCTTACCCTTCTTGCGAGGCGAGTGCCAGAATCCTGTATTGACTGTCACCGGGAACAGCGAGAATTGGCCTCGAAGCAGGTCTTCCTGTAGGCTCTCCAGCGTACCGAAGAGACTGTTGTCGCGGTCGAGACCCAGGAATGTTCCGAGCAGTATCTTCCATGAAAGCCTTTTCAGAGACTCATACATGTCTATCTCTGACGTTGACGGCTCAGAAAAATGTTGACTGACCCGCTCAGATACTGCAGGAGCTAGCAGTTTCTTGAGAGATTCCATTCTCGCTTCCCATGTTTGACGCATAGATGCATGTTCGTCACCATCCGTCAGTAATAAGTTCGGTGATGGAAAGAACGGTGCCATCAGCTCAGCATATGCGCCACTGGCTTCGTAACCTGCCGCATCCTGGGCCAGGACTTGATGGATTTGCGCATGCGAGGAGACAATTGCGACATTGCGATTCAGCACCTTTGCCCGAACGATAGCTCTATTCTCTACGGCCTCCGGGTGCTGTCTTTGGAAATCGATGATACGCGATGTGATGAATGCCTCTGGCGAGTTGTGGAACGAGAAGCTTTCGGCAAACCCTCGCAGTGTCGAAGAGCTGCCCAAGGGAAGTTGCGGTTCTGGCTTAGGCATCATGGAGAGTGGATTTATCTATGAACTACAGATCGCAGCAACGTCTAACCTCATATCGCAACGGGTATCTCGGCTGCGGGGTGTGGTGGCCGCTACGTCATCGATTTTGCGCCACCGCTTGGTATGCAACGAGTCTAGACACAGCTGATGTCGGCATCTACGAGGTTTCACGTTTCAATACAACCAATATTGCACTGAGAATGGACATGAAACGTCCCTACGATGATGGAACGAAACGGCCTTACCAAGACGAGATGGTACCGACCACGCACGCAACTACTTCCAAGCAATCGCTTCTCCACAACGCCTACGCATACCTCTGCATTGCGCTTTTGTTCGTCAACTACTTCCTGGCGCAATACGACAAATTCATTCTATCTTACTTCCAGACTTCTGTGTTAGCAGATCTCTCATTGAGCTCGACCCAATATGGCCTTCTCTCAGGCTACGCAACAGGCATTGTCTACGCCATACTCGCTCTCCCCATCGCTTTCCTGTCAGACTATACATCTGCTCGCGTATGGGTTTTGTGCGTTACAGCGGCATGGTGGAGCTTATGCGTCATCTTTCAGTCTCTAGCAAACAACTTCGGACATTTATTCTGTGCAAGACTTGGAATGGGTATCGGACAGGCAAGTGTTGAGGCACTATCTATCAGTCTCATCAGCGACCTGGTGGGATGGAGGAACGTGTTCATTGGAGAGAGCGTACTCTATGTTGGAGTATACATTGGCGAAGCCATCAGTGGCCAGATTGCAACCGCGTTTACGGAAACTGGCACGAGTTGGCGCACAGCTCTACGAGCCATCGGTATCACGGGATGTGTTGTAGCGGTGCTATTGAGACTCGTCTTGCGGGAACCAAAGAGAAGAGAAAGCCTGGTTCAAAGGCACGCACGCCATCACAGCAACAGCACAGACGAGGATCTCGCCGATATACCACCGCACATCCAAGGTACATCGAGGTCGAAAGCAGCAACGTCTGATCTGCATGCTACTTTCACATACATACTCCGCATGAACTCCTTCTGGCTCCTCATTCTCTCCGCCGGCTTTCGTCAGTTGAGCGGCAACGTCTTCGGATACTACATGCCCAGCTATCTCGGCGATACATATCCTTCGCATACCGAAATCTTCTCGCGTTACGGCATCATCGTCGGTGTCGTCGGATCAGTCGCGGTACTCAGTGGCGGCATCTTGACCTCGGTACTGTGGCCACGTACGAAACTAACGCCTGTCTATCTGACCGGCATTGGAGGTATGATCAGCTCGCTTTTCGTTCTCCTCATGATCTTCTCGCGCGATATTGCCAATGGTTCGGAAGACCGAGGCATCAAGATTCTCTACGGCGTCATGAGTCTTGCGTACCTCACTGCGGAACTCTGGCTAGGCTGTCTCTTCGCGCTCATTGCGCTTCTTCTCCCTCCGCGCTATAAAACATTCGGTCTCGCTATCTGGGGTAGTGTGCAAGTTCTCATTTATTCTTCAGGGCCTCAGATCATTGGCCTGTCGTTGATGGATGAGGAGACAACGAGTGAAAGCTACAGGAGGGTGACACAGTTGTGTTTGGCGATCATTATCCCTACTGGTTATTGGCTAGCTGGTGTCGGGTTCCTTCTCTCGATACCTTTGGTGAAAAAGGACTTGAGGGAGGAGTTTGTTGTAGGGAGGTTGAGTAGTAGAAGGACGATTGGGTTTAGCATCTTCGCAGGGGTGCTGGCAACTGTTGTGATCACCTTGTTCGTTGTAAGCTTAGTGTATCAAGCGTAAACGCTGATAGCGTATCAAGCATGAATCATTCCTCGTCATATTCTACATAGTGATTTTCCGGGAACAACACCATCATCTACTTGAAAGACAAGCCCAGAAGATCTTCAACAGCTGCATATAGCGGGCAAGCATAGTCTGCCTCCAGCAGTGGCCGGACAGTCACACCACTACTTCCGTCTTTGCCCAGCACACCCAACTCTTTGCCAAGCGCACTACCCACTTTGGGCCATCCAACGCCACCAGCGGGGTTCTTCGCAAAGTTTGCCCAAGTCTTCTGCATGAAAGCACTCAGTTCAATCTGTTGCTGCGTTGCAGTACCGAACTGGCTCGAAAGCGGATATGTGCCAAACACCTCAGGAATCTCGGCAGTGTGATAGGCGCCTGGATCGGGGAAGATCCCGACCGAAGGGAAGACGGGTGTGAACTGGTATCGATAGGTTGGGCGACCAGAAATGGCGAGGTAGTTTGCTAGCCTGGCGGTGGTGCATGTGAAGACTAAATCTGTGCCGAGCCTATCGGATAGCTCGTAAAAGTCCGTGATACCCTGTGCAGCATACGCCGCGATTATGGAGTCACGAACGACTTGCGATGTAATGTTGTACTGGTCGAAGAAGTTGTCCAAGGCCGTTTTACCGTCCGTTACACCGGCTACTGCTAAGAAGGCACGTGCTTCGTTCAGGTTCGTTCCAAGCATGGTTGGTACGTTGGCAAATTTGCCAGTGGAGATGCTGAGTCTGACGTCGGGGACTGATGTGCCATCGTTGTTTACAGGTGGGAATGCGAGAGAGTTTGGCTCAATATATGCTTTGATGTCCACGGCAGGTACCTTGCGAAGACACGCAATGTCTGTGCAGCCGAAATGCAGCAACACCTGCTTGTAGTTGACGAGGCCGTTTCCGGGAAGTACCGCGTTCTGAGACTCAAGGATAGCCGATGAGAATGGAAGTGGACTGGGTGGATTGGCCAGCAGTTGCTTCACTGACTCGCCGCCTGCGGATTCGCCGAAGATCATGACGCGGGAAGGATCGCCTCCGAATTGCACAATGTTATCCTGTACCCATTGCAATGCGAATCTCTGGTCCAAGAAGCCAGCGTTCTGGGAGCCGAAGGGTATTTCGGGCGAGTTTGAGAAGCCGAAAACTAAGATTGGGCAAGTTAGATACGAATAATCTCGACGTATCATGACGGAAATACTCACTATTTGTGCGGTAGTTGATAGTGACCACGACGACATCTTCGTTGATTGCTAGGGAGCTTCCGTCGTAGTACTTTAGTCCACCAGTTCCGAAAGCCAAGTTACCCTGCACTTGTCAGCATGCTGTCGAGTCTGAGTAAACCGACAGTAGATGCATACTCCAAAGAGCCAAAACATAACAGCCTTTTTGCTTGAAGATGTCACATCCGGTGGTGTATAGACATTGAGATACAGGCAGTCCTCACTCTCCGCTGGCGGTGGAAAGGTAGGGTCATTGAAGTACTCTATGGTTCTATCGCGAACACCGCCAGTACCAGAAAACTGCTGAATGCATGATGGTTTGACGTTTTGGGCTTGAAGAGGACTAGACCAAGGTACTGCTGCTTCGGGCGGCGCAAATCGAAGAGGAGGCGATTTAGCAAAAGGAACTCCCAGGTAGGCGTTCGCTGAGGCTGCTAACGATGGCTGGTTTGAGGGCTTGGTCGTGGTTCCTATGATGACACCAGAGGCAAGAGTGACTGTTGGTCCGTTCTCAACGGGCGCTGACAGGACTGTTGGGGCAAAAGAGCATAGCAACAGCGCTTTGCTCAAGGACGAAGCGATGTGCAACGCCATCGTGGAGGTAGGGGATGATTGAGGATGTAGAGTTGGAAGTCACGCAAGACTCTCGGATCATTTACTTCCATGTTGGGAGCAGCTGTTATAAGTCGAGATGACAGCACGCTAGGGCGATTTGATTTGGATGCTAGTCTGTCAGCACGATGTCGATAGTGTATATTGTGTCGGTGTTGTATGCAGATCATCGTCGGTCTTCGTTTAGCCTGAGCGGTAGTTGAGGTTACTCCAGGGTTTAAGCATCTTCGGAGGCATGGTGTAGCCTATGATCGTGGAAGGAAGAACGATCCACGATTCAAGCGAAAGCGAGAACGACAGCCTATGCCCCAGCATCCGGAGTCGTGGCTCCAGGTGATCGACAAATAGCGCGCGCGGCCAGATGCTAGAGTCCATTTCCCCTGCAACAGATCTGGATGCGGTCTACAAATCGCTTCCGGTGAGCTCCTCTTATAGTCCGACCACCAATCAGCTTATTGACGATGCCTCGGCACTGCGCAAGCTCCCCTTCCGCCGTAGATCATCCGCTCGTTCAGCCAATCATCGTACTCGGGTACCTCGGCAAGAATTGCAGGCATCGACCGTCATTGGGGTACTGACGCGATTTGTGGCTGTCAGACACCAGATGCAATGACTTCTCCGCATCTCGTCCGTCTCACAGGATTCTTGGTGGTCGTACTGTCGCGTGCGAAGTCTCGCTATTGAATGCGGGAGTGTAGGGTTTGTCGCCGGAGTTATTCGTGCTTTCCCTGGACCATGAGAACGCTTGCAGCACTGGTGTCCATGCCGAACAGTGAAGTAACGGTCGATGTACCTCGTCAGAGAAAGTGTGCGATCTGTTCTAATTCGTGTGGTCGTCTTGTCAGAGCGGTAATGCAGGAGGCCAGCTTCCCAGTTAGGGGATTGCGATCTGCGACACCTGATGGCGCCAAGCTGCCATTACCTAAGCAACGATATCCTACCCGGGTAGCTGGAGCGCTGGGCATGTTGAGTTAGTACTAGGTATTGCAGCGCATCGATGCAGATGAAGAGTGAGAGTCAATATCGGAAAACCAGTGCATCACAGGTCACAAGCGCTGAGATAAATG